TTGTGTCTTGTTTTGGCAATGTATAGCTACTGATGAAAACAAATTCCTATAAAAGCAAGGTTTGTACGCATTTCCTGAGCCATAATTTGCTTTGCACAGCCAGAAGCTTTTTCAAAGTTAATTTTATATTTTGAATCAAAGTAACAATCTTCAAACAATCCCCAAATCACCTAAGTGTTTGGATATAAACATACCATCTAAATATACATTATGAAGTACTACTGTTAAAAATGACTTCATTTAGCTATCAGTGCCTCTGCAGTTTCAATACTACAGTCGAAATACCAGGTTATCACCTGTCATTGTCTACTAGTGACTTATTTGTTCCAGTCTCACTTACTGAAGTTGCAGAAATTTAGCTGCTTTCTTTTCCTAAAATTGAAATATTTTTTGGGCTAACAGTGATACATTCTTTTTTTTTTTTTTTTTTTTTTTTTTTTTTTCCACTCCTCACTTATATTTTTTCACCCCCGTTTTTTTTTTTTTTTTTTTTTTTTTTTCTTTTTTGCACTCCTACCATCTAATGTATTAGACCCGGTTGAAGTTCATAAAATAATTATGCCCACCCCCACTTGCTGAGCTTGCCGTGATCTCCTGTTGCTGCACTGAAACCTGAGGAACACCCTCACAGTATCTGGCAGAGCAGGAAAGAATGTCCTGTGCCATGGCTAAGAGTAATATCTCTGCTGATTTGCCAGGACTCCCAGTGCTGCTGGTCATTAATCTTTCTCAGCCAAAAACAGATGGGGCTATTAGGCAGGCTGGAGTAATGGGGGAAACTGGCAAGATACAGAAGGAAATGCATTATCTTCTGGATAGAATTGCATGTAAAAATGAGAACATTAAAAATGTATTTTTCATATTTAATTGGACGATGTATGATTATACCTACCAGAAAATAGTGTGCAGTGTGTTTTGTGCAGGGCATTTATAAAAGTGTTCCGCTGTGCTAGGGCCTTATTTTCCCCTGTGGAGAGAAACAGTAGCTACAGTTCTGACAAGGTTTTTGTGCTTTTCCCTCTAACGCAGAGCTTACTCTGCGGCAACAGCCACTGCAAATAACACTACAAAGTGCCTCCGCTTCTCGCAGTAAACGGAAAATGCAGTTTAGGATTTACATACGAACCACATGAGGCTTACCAGGTAAAAAAATCAGTACTTTCGGAATAATGTGAGCATATCTGATACTCAGTCTAACAAAAGTGATGGAACTGCAGGTACAGCTGCTAATTCCTTTATATCACTGAGTCCAAGACAATGAGTACAAATAGAATAAAAATTGCAAATTACAAAGTGAAACCAGATTGCTCACATAGGAAACTAGCAAGGCTGAAAGGAACTACTGAAAATAGGATTTGGAAAAAAATCTGATAGATGCTAAGGACTATTTGGGATAAACAAAGACATTTTCTAGGACTGCCAGGTAGGCAAATGGTAGATGACCCTTAGCCAGAAAATGACAGGATGGAAACTACAGCCAAACATTTGAAGGTATACACTGTGACAACAGAGAGAAATCATGGAAACATATTAGAGGGTTAAAATAAGGCATTAAATAAAGGAAAGTGCATTGCCCAAAACTTAAACTTGCAAAGCCTGTTATATCAAAGGGAGACGCATGAAAACAAAAATAGGAGGATTGGGTGCTGGCCAGCAGATTATTATTTGGAATAATAATTGTGTCTGAAATGTGGTGGAATGTCAGAAGGTGCTGGGAAATACAAAGTTCAGGGTCCGGTGCTGGAAGAGGCTTATGGGACTGAAAAGTTTGCAGTGACTCACACATATCAATGTTTTCAACTGGAAGGGGAAAGGGAGACACAGAACAAAATGTGTCAAGATAAGAACGCAAATTAGAAGAACAAAAGAATTCTGTAGGTTATTATTTCTGATCCCTTGACTAGGAACTGGTTAGCATTTAGGAAGGTTAAAGAAGAAAATACAAACCCAAAACCTAGTAGGGTGATATTTGATATTAGATATAAAAATTTAAAAACAAAAAAAACTTTTTCATTTTAAAGAAAGAATCACTGGCCCTAAATAAAAAGAAAAGAAAAATTGAAAACCTCAGCTTAAAAGTGGAAAGGGCTTATAAATAGCCATGGAGTATGGTATTCCCTTAGATAAATGGAAGACAAGGACAAGGAAATACTGGTATGACTAAACTGGTAATTATTTTAGAAGTTACTCATGCCGAACAGGAAACCTTCAGAGAATGGAAATCAAAACTTTCTAAAGCTGAAAGGAAGGTATGCAATAGTTAAGATGGAGTTTGAGCAAGCTAAGAGGGAATTTGAAGAGCAAATAGTAGGAAGTTAAAACTGAAAACACACATTTGCTCAGTACACCAAAAGCAGAAAACCGGAGATAACCGGTAGGCCACCCCAAACAATAAGTAGAAGAAACAATTGAAGACAATAAGGACATTGCCAAGAATCTAAATGATTTATTTGCATCAGTCTTCACCAGAGAGGGTGCTGGAGTAATATCTGAATGAGAGACTCACACTTTCCAAATATCAAAGATAAGGACAGGTCATAGACTGAAGACTCAAGAGAGAAGTTGGTGGAACAAATCAATAAATCAAAGGCATTAAGTCACCAGGTTTATCTGGTATTTCTTGAAGACTTCAGGAGAAAACTGAGAATTAAGTAACAAAGTTGCTAGCAAATACCTACTACAGCAGAGGACTGGAAGACAGTGTTATAACTGAGTTGGGGATTTTTGTTGTTGGTGGTGTTTTTTTCATGGTGTTGGAGGAGCCCTGGCAGTTACAGAAAGATACATAATCCTAACTTGCTATCATTGGCTGAAATGTGTTAAAAAAAACCAAGCCCCAAAACTCCCCAATAATGAAGCACATAGACAAACATGACATGACAGGTATAAGTCAGTGTCTCTAAGGGAAAAAAAAAAAGGGGGCTCTTTGAACCTACTACTAATCTTTGAGCTGGTTACACCAACCAGCACTGCTAAGCCTACTCAGAAGGTCTCATGACTCACTGTACAGATAGGCAAGTAGCAAACGATTACCTCCTTGCTCCCCCATCTGCATCTCACCACCACTGAGGAAAGACTAATGTTCATGTTGATAACGGCACATTCAAACAATGTACAGGTCCGTGCTACAGGTTGTGCTGCTGCAGGGCAACCCAGTCCCATCCTTGGGCAACATTGTTAAGCCAAGGAGAATTGTACATCTGGAAATGAAAGTTTTTAATATAGAGGAAATATAATGGTGGCCACACTGAAGCTCTGACTGGAGATTTTATGTAGGTACAACCAGTGTTAGCCTCTCTTAGCTTTTGATACCTTTCTGTGCATTAGCTAATCCACAGGACTGTGCTGCAGGGTTCTTCTCATTCTCAAAATGCACAGTGACATGGGCCCTTAACGGTGAGCAATACAGGACTTAGGGAGTTAAGATTTTGGGTTTTTTATAAAAAATATATCTCAGCCAGGAGTGAGCACTCATTTAACTTCTTCCCAGCTCTTCCTAGCTTTTTATGTAAATCTTTACATAAAGCCATTAAGAACAGAGGAAAAGCACTTTGGAAAATTATGCAGTGATGTATTCTTATGCAGCCAACACTCCCAGGGGAAAAAGTGAAAATTACACATAGCCTCCCGTCCCTTTTTATTTCTTGTCAAAGATGTTGCCTTTTTTGGCTTTTCTTATATATACACAGCATGATGAACTGATATTTGTAGTTTAAATGTCTGGTTTAACTGCGTGGTTTCCACCGTAACAGAAAGCTCTCACGAAATGTCAGGTTAGAAATAAAACCAAGCTCTAGAGGGATGAGGTGAGGAGGAAAGTAGAAGGTCCAGAGGCTGAAAAACAAGATGGAAAAAAAGTGAGCAGAACGCAATGTGGATCCATTTCTCAACTCAGGCAGTGGTATTGGTACGCGTGGTTTTACGGGGAGCTGGGGTAGGGAGACAGACGCATTTCTCACTGAGTTGTTTCTGCTTTCTGTATTAACATTGCAACAGAAATTACAAATAGCCCTGCAAGGGGTAGTGCATTAAACCTCATCTCTTCATCCCATGTAAACACAACATTAATACTGAAGAATAAAGAAAATGGCAAAAAGTCCAGTGTCTTGTTTTCTGCATTTTGCTTGTTAGGTTTCCTGTCCGCCCTCCAGCATACTCCTGTGTGTACCGAAGTTGTGAACTTGACCAGCCCACATTCAAGCAAACACTCACACTCAGATTCCCAACACATTCTTTTCTCCCCCTCCAATGGGGAGTTTATTCCTAACAGTTCTGCTCCTTTTAATTATAAACTCCTTTAACGAAGTAGTTCTGAGACCTTGCAGCAGGGAGCAGGAGAGCACCAAGGCTACTAGTTGCCATGTTTACATTCCCTGTTCAGCAAAGAAGTCCACTTAAAGCCCAAGGCCCAATGCCTTCACGGACGGGCATGCACTGAAATAAGCCTACAAATCAACATCCCCCCGCACAACATGCCTCATAGGCAAAATCCAATTCTTGCCTAAAAAAGATAAAGATTTACAGCCAGGCCCTTTATTTTACGAGACACACACAAACAAGTTGCTCTGGTGAAAACAGACCTTACACTGACAAGTTTTGTTCACTTTCTGGCAGAGCTACGGATCTTCTTTACTGGACCACCAGAACCAAAGATGGGAAAGAAACACAAGGGTGACATTTCCTTGGCAAGGAAAGGAGCAGCATTTAGGACGGGGGAAAAGGCAGGGTGGGGTATAGGGGATTTTCCTGATAAAAACAACTAATTTGAGAATAAAAGACCAACCGATATCATGTATACACCTAAACCAGTAACACACCTTCTCTGGAGTGCAGTATTGTATAAGCGTCCCCTTCGTTTTCAAGGCTAATTCAGACCTTTGGCTCATCCTGCATTAACAAGGTCATCCATGTTAACAGGGCCCCTGTGAAAGTTCACAGGTGGAAGTTCCCTTTTAGAGTAGTGCAGATTTGAAATTCACAGGACAGCGACCCGAAGATCTTCCTTTACAGATAAAAAGCATGTCAAATTATTAAATAGCAACATGAAATCCTATATTCTGAAGGTCTGTCTTTGCTCTGCAGTCAGGAGAGCAGAGTGCATTCCCAGCCCCTGCCCAGTCCCCACCTCCGGCGGCATGGCGGGCGCATGGCCAGCCCCTCTCATTGACACCTCACGAATGCTAAAGCTGAAAGGCCTGGGGTAGTTGGGGAAGGGATGAATGAGCATAGTCTGAAGACATGTCACTTCAAATTTCTACTGTTAGAACTGCCGGGTATGATATAAAAACAGAAAGTATTTCTCAGTTTGGAGTTTGAAGACTGGGCCCCAAACGTTGAGTGGCTTGTCTCTCCAGTGTCCCTGTTTCCCACACACGGGCTCCATTGTGCTAGCTGTTGTTCTCTGCCGTGAGATATTTGAGGGCTGCAAAGCCGTAGTGGCGCGACATATCCTGCTGGAACTCCTCCTTCAGGGTCTTGAGACAGATGCGGTATTGCTTGTTGGAGCGAAACTTGGTGATGTCGAAGCTGGGGGCGTGCGGCATGTGGATCATGTAGGCATTGGGCAGCACCGTGAACTCGTACTCCTGGGGGAGAAAGACACCAGCTGTGAGGGTGGTCCCGAGCCCTCTTGCAATGCATCTCCCCCCTACCTCCACAGCCAGACACGCTTCATCATGTGCCCTGCAGAATGGGTCTCAAAATCAACAAACCCATACAGATATGCCAAATAAGCCACCTTTTTTTTTTGCAGTTGCTTTTCCTTGGTTTTATAAGAGATCAGCTTTTCCTTTTAAAATATTTTACTCCATATAAGCCAAACGATGGGGCAACAGTACAAAAGGCATGCCCGAAGCCATGTCTGCAGCACAGTGTAGTGTGCTTGCAACCAACACAGCTGGGATGGCACGCAGCATGACTCTCAAGTGTCCATGCAGAAGCGTGCTTTTGCCCCTACAATTTATCTTCCTTGAGATCCGGGAATAAGCTATATTTAAAAAGGCACACACTGCTCTACATACGTTGCTTTGCCTGTATACTTACAGTGACAAAACTGTCTAAAACTATTTATAAACCTGAAATAAGGGGAGAATATGGTATCTTTTACAGGCAACGTGTAAAAATGGACCTGCTAATTCCATATGCTTTGAGAAGGTTTTATGCAAATTAAGTTATCCTTCACAAAGTATGAGATACTGTGACAATTCCCCCTCTCCTCTAAAACTGTTTCACTAATTCTCTTTATTTTTATCTGACCAAGTTTTTTGACAAGTTGTGTTGTTAAAAAATGGTGGTTCATATGAGCCTCAATACTCCTGTTAGATTTGTTCCAGAAAAGGGATGTGAACCTCAGTATTCTGTAGTCAAGAGAAGAACCCTCACTGCTAAGACGCTACCTCTTTTTCATATGAATTTCAAAAAGTCTGAGTTGTATGGGATGCAAATGACAAAGAAACTTCGAAGCCTCCACAGGCAAATTTCCTATTGTCCTCACACAGTTTCTATTTACAACTGTTGCTGCACTGACTCATTAACCATCTCCGCATAACACAGTGGGCAGTGAAGGAACAGCCACAGAGCATGCTGGCTTTAAAAGAAATGGTGCACAACTTCCCTTGGTTTCCGAAGTCCAGCCACTCGTAGATTCAGGAGTCTGTTCAGAGATACAGAGTGTCTGCAGCACAGAGGCAGAGTATTCCCAAATATTTTGTTAGGTAAAGAGATTTATGGGAGAGAACACACTTGTGCTAATAAACATAAGTGTTTCACCTATAAATCTTTCTTCACCTAACAAAATATGATCAACCTGGAAAAGACTGAAAACTGCTGGGTTATGATGCTACCAGAAACCACGTGTTTGAGCAACACAGCCCAAAATGAAGCCCAAACAAAATGGAAAAAAGTGAGCAGAATGCAATGTGGATCCATTTCCCAACTCGGGCAGTGGTATTGGTGAGCCCAAGTGCAGCTAAGGCTGCAGTGCCTTCCCAGAGACACCTATGGAACAGTAGCGTGTGTTGGACAGCTAGGTGCAGATGCAGCTGGATGGCTGCTCCTTTTTCATTACGGGAATGCCTGTTCCCTGCCAGACAGTGCTAAAGTGGTAAATCGTTGTGCCAAATTACAATGCCATCATACATGGGAACGGGCAATTCTGAACTTCTGGTTGGGGTGACAAATGTACAGCAAGAGCAAAATAATCTGATGCTCAGAGGCTGAACTCATGTAGTTGGAAGAGGCTTGGAACTAATGGGGAACCAAACAAAAACAAAGACTGGCATGATGGAGTGAGGACAGCTGATAAACTACAAACTACAAAATAAGTCTCTACTTAAAACTAAGGGCTGAAGCTGCAGAGAAAAGACACATCCCTCTCATACAATCTTTTCTTTGTTCTCTGTTTGCATCTCAAGTCTGTAATCCTGCAGGTCAGGGACTGTCTACGCTCTGCAGTGTAAACTGTTCAGCACAGTGGTGCTCCCATCCCTCCAAAAGGCCTTCAGGCACATAAAGGCTTCCAAAAACTTACAAGTCTGCTTCTAATAAGCCCCTTTGAAAGATGCTGGGCTGGGGCCCTGGAAAAAAGATTGCTCACAGTCTAGTTCAAAAGTCACTGGAAAAGCAGGGAAAGGTTTCCTAATGGCCCATCTCTGCTATAAGGAATTCTCTGTTGAGAAAGCGATGCACTTGCAGGAACCTCTGCCCCTACCTCACAGGTTATAAATTCTTTAGACGGAGAGTGTCATTATCTATGTATTTGTACAGCATCCGGCTCAGTGGACATCTGCATGCCCCAAGAATAATAATGACGATTATCTCCATGCTGTGTGCTGCTCTGAAGGACAGTAGTGACACAGGCCCTTGGTAAGGAGTCTGAAACAGTCGTCTTGACAGACGCTGCAGTTGTGAGGAGCAGTGAAATAATTCAATTGAGAAGTTGCTCTGCCTGCTGATAATGAAGCCAGCCAAGCAGCTGGCAGCAACCTGATCCGTGGACGCCCCAAAGCAGAGGAATGTCACAGGGGGAGGTAGCTGTGCGATCCCACGTCCCCTCCGGGCTGATTTTCTGGGAGAACAGGCCAATACCCATGTTGCTACAGATGAAAATGAAATTCTTTTCAATGTGAGAATGTTTTTAAGGTTGGAAGAGTGAGAAGAACAATTCCCCAGAGTTAGTTCCAACCCTATGACCATTTAAAATATCTGTGCTATGTTCAACTTTGAAAAATGTTCCAATTTCCCATGTGTGAATCTGTATGCTACACAAATGTATCTGAACAGAAGAGTTAAATCATGAGTGCTAGATGAGAGCTGTCAGTGGGAACATAAGCCTTGTTACCCAGATTAACAAATAATAAATCATTACACTGGCACTCTTCACAACTGATGGTTAATTGATTAGTGTTTGGAAAGTGCACTGGAGAATTAAAGTGCTATAGCAGAGCAAAGTATTATTATAAATGATAATATAAGGGACAATTTTTTTTCTAGTCTGTAATATTTTTTTTCTCAACATAAGTAGGTGAAAATTTGTTGGGAATGCCCTTTTGCAAACAGAAGGTAAGTGGCTGCCAGCCCAAGGTGACCGTGTAGTTTTGTAAGCAGAAGTAGAAAATAATCCTCCCACATACGTCCCTGCACACAAATACACTGTAGCCCACACCCCAGAGAGGCAATCTCCCAGGAACTTGCTGCATGCCTTGTGCTACTCTGCTTCATATAAACTGGTAAGAGGTGGGCAGAGAAGTATCAGCTGTATTCCAGATCCATGGCAGAAGCTGGCATAGGAAGATACAGATGGCCAAAAAGCATCAATTTTGGTTAGCATGAAATGCTACTAGTTCAAAAACTGGGACTGAAACCAAACTAAAAAAAAAAACAAAAAAACCCAAACACCAAAATAAAAAGAAATGCCATGACCCAAACCCTGCTGATTAGCACAGCGGTCAGCTTCACATCCAAGAACTGCGGAGAGATGCAAATCCTGCCATTTCAGTGAGCAGCAGCACCAGGCTCCCATGGAGCCATAGTCACTGCCAGACTCTTAAGATCTAGGTTGGTGGCAGGGACGATGGCAGCTCTGAGAGCTCTAGTGCCAGTCTGGGTCTCTCAAGTTTTCTCTGCGTCCTTATTCTTACATATTCTGCCCAGCAGCTCCATCCCAAGTCACTGATCCAAGAGGCAAGTAGCCCAAGGATCAAGTGCCTGGATCCTCTAGAGTCTGCCCCACAGCCAGACTTTGGAAATGTAAAGTCCTTGTCTTTGCAGAGATGCGCTGTAAATCCAGGCTAGAAATTGAAGATGCTTGCCCTGGATTCAATTTAAGATTGCTTTTTGAATTCTAAATTAGCATTTGGGACTCATCAACCTCTATTTAACTGAAAAAGTTCCAGCTAGGTCTATAGATCCCCTAATAGGTGGCTGGCAACAAGTGCTGCAATGCTCGGGCACACTGATGGGCAGGAGGCGGGCACTGCAGGGATCGCGCCACTGCGAGACAACTTTCTCGCACTGACAAATAAACTAACTAACTCAGACTCAGTTCTCCTTTTAATGCTTGACAAGGACTAAACTGAATGTTCCCAACTCAAGAAGCACCCATTAAGGAGCTCAGTAAGGCCAAATGAGCACTCTGGTGATGCAAAGCCTGAAGCCTGTCTACAGAACACAGATGTCATTTAACAACCCTGCTGCCCAAGCCCTGGGTGAGAGATGCAGGCATCAGTCTCCTCACCTGTGCATCCAGTTCCATGATGTGAGCTACTTTGTTCCAGCCAAATCCAACAAACCGCCTGTCATACTCCGGGCAGTCCTTCCTCACAACAACGTATGGCTCAAAGTCTGCTTCCCACTCAACGCGGTAGGGGGTGGTGGCTGTTCGCCACTTGGCAAAGTTCGTTGGCGCATGCCCTTTCGTCCAGACGTGATACCTTAAACAGACATAAATGGCATGGACGTGGGGAGGCAATTAGATAGAAGGCATCTTGGCGAGGCAACAAAATGTCACTTGTTAGATGAAATGCTCAAAAATCAGGACGTTAGTTTACAGTTCACATCATCATTTTCAGGACATATCGGAGGCAATTTCTAGGACTATTTCCGGCACACTTCCCAGAGCCTCTATGTGCTCGAAGCTTAAACACATCTAGTTGGTGAAGGACGGTGTGAAAACACTACCTATTGCTAATGTGAGAAACAATTACAAAGTACACAGACAGTTCATCTGCACTACAAAGTGCTGTGCCTCATTCCTAGCAACCAAGTGGCTCTGTATCAGTGCTGTAGAATCAGTGTGAAATTCTGTAGCTCAGAGAAGGTCCCTAAAATTAGCTACTTCTACACCACAGTGACATTCACAATCTGTTTTATATGCAATTTTATAATTTGTATGAGAGACACCTGCGGCTCTGGATAGATGTTTCATTTTATTAATTACTGTTATTATTATGCTAGGAGCCAAAGTGCATAATTAAATTAATAAGTAAAATATTACATAAAGGCTTTGTGCTGTATTTTCTACATTGTGGGGAGTACCCATGTGATCCTGAGTAAGGTAATCAATTTGATTTACAGGAAAAGATTCTTTTATACTTCGTTAATCTTGTTTAGGTCACAGCAGGTCTCTTCCAAGCACAGCTTGAATCCACCCCATTAGTGCCAGGGTCAATGATTCTCTCGCCCACTTATTCTTCTTACACCTTTCCAAAGATCAATGAGACAGGCTCTTTCTGCAGATTCATAGATTAAATAATGAAACAAAGGCATAGCAGGCCATCTGTATTACAACGTTCTGAGATGTGTAACAGAAGGGGCAAAACAAACATCCTGCCAGTTTGTAATGTAAGGTACATTGAATTCACAGGGATGACTCATGTGCTAAAGTAAAGGGATTTGAGCATTAAATATTTGCAGAATTGGGACCTGAGGCAATGTTTCAACCCCAGAAATTCTCGTAACATTGCAAGCCATTGCTAAAAACAGGGACATAAAATCACAACCTAGGAGTTTCCACTTGGACTATATATTTGTATGGCTTAGAACTGGAAAAACAGAGAGGTATTCAGCTTCGCTGACTCTCCTTGTTCAGGGTCAGTGCAGGAGGACAGAATTATTAGGATAGCACCGAGGTCCCAAGAACGTATGGTCCTTTGAAGGCTGCATTTCTAAAGTGTAAACAGGTTGCATGTCTTTCAGATATCTGGCTTGGGGACCTGGAAAAAACGAAGCCCTTCTGTATTAAAAAAAACCTGACAGTGAATTCATTCTCTAGAGGTTATTAGAAACCAATGCCAGATTCACAAAGATGTTTACAACCCTTAATGCCTTTTGGAATCATCTCCAAAAAGCCTGTCCCTCTTGTTGGTCTCTTTTGGAAATGAGTTGGTAACCTACCCAATCACTAATGGGCACCTATCTGTCTGGAAAAAAGCACTATCACAATGTGGGGTTTAAAATGACATGGGATTGTGGAGGATGCTCTATCTTCTAACATCCTACCTCCGGCATTTTGAAATTAATTATGATAATAATAATAATGACTACTAAACACTTATGAAGTGATTTGTATCTTCAAAGCCCCATACAAACTTTTGTTAATTGAGAGATTCCTGCAGAGAAGCAGTCAAATGCTGCTGCTATTCTAGTAACACTCTCCCACTGATTTAAACAGGGGGGGAACATGACAGTAACCATAAAAACATCAATTTCTTTCCACCCTTTTTGGGGAAAACAGTGTAAGCTGTTACAGCAGTTCAGGTGTAACCTCTGTGAATTGTGAGGGCTGACCAGCAGGAAAAAAAAAATGTGGAAGAGACAATGAAGGGAAAATATGGAAGTGAGATTGGAGAGACAAAACAAAGCAGAAAGGAAGGAACAGACCCGATATTGTAACAAACAAAAAAATACCACAGATGATCTACTTGCCTCTTCAGAGTGACTGATGTGAGTGGAGGGGAAGAGGGAGACAAAAGGATGGCTAAGGGCAGGACAAAGAGGAAAATGAGTAGAGGATGCTCAAATAATGTGTGCACACACTAACTATAAAGGAATAATTAAACTGGAAACAAGAATTATGAGCTTTCAGGATTACAGATTTAAATACACATTGAATTTTAAACCCACACTCAATCTCACTGACTCACAGGAGAACTTTGTGAAAATTGTGAACAACATATTTTTCACTACACTGGCAATTTTGACAAATCTAAACCAAATAATTTGATCTCCGTAAAATGATGATGAATTTCTTTCCCACGGTTCATGGAAAACAACTGCACAAGATCCCCTGCTTTGGGTCAAATGTTCCATCTTACTTTCATTATTGAATGCTTTTATTTAAAATACAATTTCAAAACTATAGTAAACTTTGCTAAAGTTAGCAAAATGAAACCATTATTCTTCTCAGAGTGTTCTTCCTCCCTGCCTTGTCCCTCAAAGCTTCCTGTTTCAGTGAGAAAGATGATTTGGTGAAAAAAAAACTTTCCCAGTTCTGTTCTCAGATGATTAAACATTTTGCTGGATTGTGGATGCAATCAGTTAATTAGTTAATCAGTTGTTGCTGGTTATGTTTTCTCAATACGATGCGTCTTCTACCAGCTGTGGTATTCCTTGTGCCTGAAAGCTGTGTCGGCAGTACATTTGTGGTTCATCAGCTATTACCCAGGCACTGAGCGGACACATCCTCGTGAGGCACAGTCACAGCCAGCACCTGCAAACAAAGCCAGCAAGCCGGCACAGAGCAACCCACTGCCGCGGAGGGTTTCCACACGGCGCGCCTTGCCAGCCGTTGATGCTCACATGTCTTCCCTTTTCTTCTGGTGGTGACTGGGGGATGTAATTGAGAGCCATTTTGTACTTCTTAGCTGCCCAGAGGTAGAAAAGGTCACCATTTGGAAAAGAGGTGACAAAAGCAATTTCAGTGAGGGAAAGATTGTAATCTACCATGTGGTGTGAGGGACTGGGATGCTGCAGGCACTCTCAGCAATCACTGTCACAGCCGTCCTCCCCGGCTCACTCCCACCCACTCAGCCTCGAATTGTAGCGTTATTAAAGCACCTTGAAGGTGGAAGTGGAAATTCTCAGCCCAGATAACAGTTGCTTTGTGGCTGTTGATAGATTTCAGCAATGAAATGAGCCAAAGCAAACTGGGGAAGCATTTGTAAAATGTGTCCTACATTAATATGTACACCAGCTACAGACCACACGTCCTTCAATTCTTATTTAACCTTGCTCTGGCAAAACTCCCACTGATGTTAAAGAGATTTTTGCCTGAGTGATACTTGAGAAAGAACCTGTAAATCTGGCTGTGTATGTAACATGCCAACATGCTGTATAGCTTGAAGATGAAATCTGTAGTGGAAGGCCACTGCTGTGAAGGCTGAAAATTTGATTGTTGGTGAAATGTAACATCTGAAAATCCCGAGGGTGTTATTTTCCACTGGAAGGATTTATTTTTTTCTTTCAACTATGGAAGAAACAATTACTTTCTATCAACAAAACTCATGTTAATGTGTATGGCTTTGACTGTTAAAGAATGATGGGAGAGCAAAAGGCACTTGCTCTATCAGTAATTCCTTAAGTAATTTTCCAGAGAGGGGCATGCCTCCCTCGGTCGCCTCAAGTTTCTATTTCAAGGCAGCCACTGGTAGAGGTAGTGTCAGAATTATGTTTTCCAGGCTCACACAAGCTGTCTGCTATAACATGTGCATGTGGCCGCATGAGGGAAGGGTGGTTGCTGCAATGAGAGAAGTGTGTAATACAGGGAATGGAAGAAGTGTGAGGAAAGCTCTAAAGTAAGGGAAGGATGGGAGAGGTGATACAGAGCTCCACCAGCCATGGATAATACCTTTTTCATACTTTTTATCTCTAGATCTCAAAATACTGTAAAAAGGAGAGGTGAACATTGTTACCTGCATTTCAGAGATGGAGAACAGAGATGTAAGAAAGCGAACTGATTCGCGTACCACCTCCAGCGGGGCAGTAGTGGAGCCAAGAAGAGAACACAGGTCTCCTAAGCCCCCTCTCTGTGCAGTATCATAAGGCCATATTGTACTCTTCCCACCACTGCAATGCTTTACAAATGTCTGCTAATCAGACCTTACCACACACACCCAAGAGACGGTTAACCCCTGGTAGTTACATTTTATAACCGAAGCGTCTGGCAAATAATAGATGTGACTTGTTCACAGCCACAAAAGGAGTCTGCTTCACAGAGGAGCTCCAAATTTAGGTGTTCTTCACTTCTCAACTTCTAGTCAGTGTACACTTTTACCTCTGCATCGAGAAACTTTAGCTATTTAAGCAGCTGTAGCACACTTTAAAAGAGCACATGACAAGCCTGCATTTGTTTTTCCACTAAGTCAGTAAGGAAGCGAACGAATGAGCAGAGAGAAATTATTTTTGGTTACATGAGGGACACAGCTATCTGGATAGTATTTGGCAGCCAAAAAGCAAATTACACGCACATGAGTGTAATGGTCACGCTTGATTTTGTAGGGCAATAAAAAATGATGAAAATAAAACAAATTCAATTTAACAACTGAAGTCCTTCGGTAGAGGACTATAATACTAGATTAAATGCTGGGCTTACAGATGGAATATGTCCACATACAATTCTGGTCACTGCCTCTCTATGAAAAGAGAAAAAAAAATCCAGTAGGTTTCTTAATGGAGCTAGCTAGCTGACAGTGAGCGAGAAAAATCAAATTATTCACAAGAACATAAAAAAAAATCTTTAGAGATAATGACCACAGGTTCAACAAAAGTACTTTCCATTACCTGAATGTGAAGAGGGTTCCCATGTCCAACATAGATAGCAGCTCTGCTTTTGACTTGGGGAAGGAGAGGCGGTAGCGTAAGGTCTCAAAAGCAGGTACGATCAGAGCTTTCTTGGTGTTAGCCAGGTCTAGCTGGATGACGGACTTCCTGGCAAAGAGAAACGACAAACGAAAGCAAGAAATTTTAAACTGAGCAAATCGTTCGGCTTTTCAAAATAAAGAGCAGAGAATGAGCAGTTTGATACTGTAAAAGTATCTATGGCCTATATTTTTTCCCAGGGGTGCTTCATATTTTCCTCTACTTTTGATCTACTGCTCTAAGAGCAGGGAGAACAGTGCGGTTCAAAAAGAGCTTGCGTGTTTGACCGATCAATGCTGCCCTGCATGTCCGGGGTGCACAGAGCCGAACTAGCACTCTGAGCACGGCCAGTTCACCGCCCTTTTAAGAGAAACGCAGTTCAATGTTATATACGGGAAAGACCTGCTCAGTCAACAGCGGTTCTAAAGAAATGGGATTTATCCAGGACTCAGTGGGATTTTACAAGGTGATGAGCTGGAAAGTTTGGTTGTATTCCAGCCTAGCTATTCTCTGTGCTACACTGTGCCATCTTACTTGCTTTTCACCTCTGCTTTAGACCTCTGTGTTTCTGGCAAGTTGAGAGTTACCTTAACACCACTACGGACCAGATATTTGCTCTCAAGAGCACTGTTGCCGTGATGGTCGGTCTTTGTCCAAGACAAGGCACAGATCTACTGCAACACGACATGATGCAAATCAGCAAAACTGTACATTAGCAGGGTTTTTTTTTTGAGTATTGTTAATATCATGCGCATCGTAGTGCCCAGAGATCAGAGCTCATTTGTGCTTGGCTCTGTGCATAGGGCGAAGAGGCTGTTTCCTGCAGAGACGAGCTGTGCGCTGGATGCACAGAGATACCTCGCTTTTCCCCTTCTTTTGCTGCAGGTTGTTCAGCGCAGAGACTGTTTCGGTGCGTGAGTGTGTGCGTGGGCACATAACTGCCTTTTGCACAATAGGGCCCTTTGCCAGACTGGGGCCTTAGGACAACTGCCGCAGGAGACCAACAGCTTAGGAACTTTATGCCCTGCCTACCAGAGGTATTCAGTCTGTTCTTTTCTAACAAACTAAAACCCAAAGAAAAAGTTACTTTTCCATCCCCAAACTCAATCTTACTATGCTTGTCATTAGAAATAACTCTGTCTCTATTTTCCTTTCATCATCTTCATATTTCATATGAGAAATATGCCTCTCTCTCCCTGTCAAAGTCAGTTCCTCTTAACAGGATTCACTGTCCTGACTTTTATGTTACTGCAACAAGCAATCAAGGACAATGTTGACAAGCAGCAAACTCTCTACAGCCTTATAAGATGAAGGAATTGGGATCACTGTCATAATAACAGAAGGACCAAACAAACCACTTTTCTAGGCCCAGAATACCTAGAACTCATTTATATTTCCATCAGAGAAAAAGAAGAGCAGAGCTATTTAATAAAATCTGAATTTTAGAGAATTCACAACACCCTTTAAGCCTGTTCTATAAAAAGAAATCTGTTCCCAGTGCCTTACTGCAAAGTTTGCATTGTTTAAAGAACCCCTGCCACCTTCCAGTGAACTTTTCACAACTGAAGGATTTCAACAGCACCTTATTTTAACTTCTTTGTACTTTCTTCACCAGCTTCTCCCTCACTATCACTAATGGGCAAGATATCTGCATGTAAATAGATGACTCCTTCATAATCAACCTCCACTTCCAGAATCGTTGAGCAGTGTCAGCATCTAGTCTTTATGATGCTCTTAATATTTCTTCCCCTTCACACCTTCTCTGAGAGCAGGGGACACTAACGTATTTTCTCTTCCAACATCTCAGGTTTTCTGGATGCTGCAACCTATCAGTCTTGAGCGGTACAGCTTTGGGGATTCAGTTCTAGGAAGGAGCAGGTAACATTTGCAGTGATGCTTACCCTTTGGGCTCTGCAAGGAAACAGCAGCTTCCATTTATGGCTGTTGATACCTCTTTCTTTGCTGGAGAGCTCAAAAGTCCCAGGCAAAAATCAAGGCCTGGCTGGGCTTTGCACTGTCAAAGTATAGGAGACAATTCTGCCCACCAAAGTTCATTGTCTGACTTTGAACAAAGCTAAAGTAAGTATAGGTATCAAGCAAGGGTAACAGCAGAGACAGTCAGACAGAGCAAGTTGTGTTCAGCGTCACTCATAAGATATGGGATACAAGCACAACAATTACCTGGATATCAACAATCCTTTCTGCACACTCCCTACTCTTGTCATCCACAAATTTAATATAGGCATCAACGGCAAAACTGTTGGAAAGAATAGATGACAGTACTTTTATGAAGATAACCAAAAGGCAGAGAACAAGCTGATACAAGAGGCTGAAATCACTTGCACCGTCAAAGGTCAGTATGAAAAGTTAGGTAAGAGGAGAGAAGCAGAGATCTGAAAAAAAGATACTTGTAGTGGATGCAGTCAAACACAGGAACTGGTGGAGGTACTTCGAGTGAAATAACATAGTGGGATAATCTCTGCAGAAATATTTTCAAGAGGTATGTGAACATTTGAGGTGCATATTGAAAAGCCCAAAGTGGAGGGGTTCACCAAAGCTGAGCTGGGAGCTGAGACACACTCACTCAAGAAGTCCAGCAGCACTGACCTCCACATAGAATAGCCTGCCTTTGATGTGGACTAGGTGACATAAAGGACAATGTAAGGGGAAGAACAACAGAGGTCATGAGAATTGTGATAAAGGCAGGGAGGATTTGATAGAGAAAAAAACACCTTCCTTTTTCTTCTGATAACTTGGCTGGTGGTCTGCTTCTTGGACAACCAGCTGAAAATCAAACCTCGTCCTATTGGAAACAAGTCTACTTTTCCTTTTCTGTTGGGTTGACTTTTCTCCCAGTTTTGTGTGGAGGTGCCATTTGCTCGTTGACTGATTCTGTGATACTTGTAATAGGAAAATTTTCACTGTTGTTGTTGCAAGATACGTGGAATACAATGTAAGGAATACATCTGGTTATTTTGCAAACTAGCACTCGGTAGATGTTTAATTCCTGCACTATTCTTATGAGGGCTGTTTTTTGGATTCAGTAATATGAATTCAGTATCCATTTTCCTTTATTTGTCCTTTTCCCCAACCCCAAAATAAGGATATATGATTTTATGAAGAGCTTTCTCATAGCTAATGTTGTCCAGGAAACCGTTTCCCAGGCATCTTTGTGTTCAGACCTGATGTATGTCATTCTGACACAGTGAATGTTGGGTTAAATTTCTCATCTACTAATCAACCCTAGTTTTGCAAAGCATGGAAGAAATGAATCCTAAATCACAAGAGTCTCCTCACAGGTTGAATGAACTCCAGCATGTTGATATCAATCTTTTCTTCTTCATAGTCCTTTCAAAAAATTAACAAAGAATTCTCACCCTTGTGTGGGCAGACAGTAGTATCATTTCCGTGTTTGGAAGACAGAGAAGCTCAGACACAAAAAGGTTAGCAACCTACTCCTAAAGCACTGAATTCAGAAACAAAAAAGAAAAAGAGTCCACTAATTGAAATTAGCTTCCACCATCAGGACTCTAAGAGGTTAGCTCAAGATCAACAAACATGCCAGTCACAGATTTTGTGATAAGAACTGGAGGGTTGTTGGTCCACTGTTAAATTCATTAGAACATTCTTTTTCTCTGCAAAAGCAATGAATGCCTAGCCTTCAGAGGCATCCAACAAATCAAAAATAGGCACAACAGTGTGTCTCTTGCTGAGATGCTGAAGAACAACCGGAAACACTTCACAACGCAATTTGCAGGGGACAGGTATAAAACCTGCGCATAGAGCTTGGATGCCAGCTCCCAATTCATGCTACATGTGACACTGGAAGCAAAGGGCATATTTTAGACAAATGTGTCAGGAAAGAACTCTAATGCTAGCTGTGACAACTGTAGATAAGCAGCCTATCCAGTTATTTTATGTTAGAGGAACCTTTAGGATGACCCGCACACCTTACTTGGAGAATCCAGAAAGAGCCTTTACCTCTGGGGCAAGGACAAGATGACCTCAGTAACTAATGAGGGAAGGTGACAAAAGACTTCGACTCAGTACAGACCATGAAAGTGTCTGAGTTTTGTAAACAGGAAATCTTTAAATGATGTATCTCTTTCCTTTTGTACTTCACAGAAGAGTAAGGTGGGACAAAAAGGAGGTTTGTTGGAGATTAAAAGCATTGAAATGGTCTTACTTAGCATCTGTGAAAAAAGCTCAATTAGCACAAATCTAAGTGCTAGCAACAGATACCTAGAAAAATCATCAGCTCCATCAGCTTCTCCTTCAAAACCAGCCATAACCTTTTGCATACAACACCTTCAAAATATGTTGAAAATGTTTTTCAGAATTCCTTTCTTTCTGAGAATATATTGTCTGTAGAGACACAATATACAATATATGTAAATGAGTAAACTCACAGTAAGAGGGACTTGTCTGGCTCATCCTGTACAAAGTGATGCCTGAAACACCACACTATTTCTATTTGCTTATGGCTGTTCTATCTGAGGAAATGAAGATGAAAATGTTTGTATGTCACTCTAACAAACAATCACTGCCATTCAGATAGATACCACTAATCAGCTGCTTGCAGAGGCGGTGGGAACAGTCAATGCAGAAAGAGACACGGTATCCGTATTTAAAATAATCCCACTGCACCTCCCTGCTATTTTGCTCAGAAAAATCATTATTGAAAAAGCAACCAAAGCCTCTAGTCCACATGCAAAAAAATCCAATTCTTTTTTTAAAGAGCTAGTAGTAGCAGATTAGCAATTTCAGTATTCCCAAGCAACAGAGACTCACAGTCAGAGTTACAGTGGTATGGGACTCAAGAGGCTGGTAGAAGAACACAAGGTCTTGGATGCAACAGCTTTCAGTGTAAATCTGTTTTGTTTTTTTCTGAAACAGCACCAATGGGTGGCATTGCTCTATATTTAGTCCTATAATACATTATCACCATATGAGAATTATTTCTATGGTTGTAATATCTCAAGTATATTGTGGTGGTACACCGTTCTGTCTTCTCTCCTCTCTTCTTCCTTTCAGTACTGGCTCCCATCAAGGCACTATGAACCAGCACGGAGACACGAGTTGCTTTTTTAGTACTATATGCCAGTATTGACAGCTGCTATCCTTACCATGTCCAGCATTGATCCGAAGAAATGTAACAGTATGCAACACTAATGTCACAGAACAGAAAAGCTAATAACTGTCCATACATGTATCTTGAGACAGGTAATGTGTGCAAGGGACAGAATTATTCTGGAGTCCTCATAGCACAAGTCAAAAAGAAATGTCTCTAAAATAAATGGGAAACAAGCTGACACAGTGTGATAAAACTTCAATAATATTATTGAAATCCAGTGTCTTAAAAGCCATACTGAATTTGGCCCTGTACATGAATGCAGAAATTGAAAAAGGTAATTAATTCTCCACATGAGGGAGAAGTGAGAAGACGACACTTACTGAGTTGTTAAACCTGAAACAAAGGAATTCCTACATAAGTTTAAGATACCGAGAGGTGTATTTCCCTTTATACTCCAAAGCCCCGGGCCTTCAGACTGAAAGGGATCACCTACAGGCAGACTCTCACTGGAACACTTTGATCAACTTTTACCAGATAAGAACAGAGATGAAAAGCAAAACTGGTCAGGACTAAGGAACTGAAATCCTCCTATCTGGCCACAGGGTGTCCTCCTTGCTCTATGCTTTGGCCTCAGATGACCAGCCTCTGCGGGGGGCGGAAAAGGTCTTTATTAAAAAAAGCTCAGTTAATGGATCAGAGGTCTGCAGTTTGCTCAGCCCAACCTGCTCGCATTCATTATGATACAATACACACTGAGGTTACTCTTCCCAGTTTCCTTATACTAATTATTTTGCCTTGACAGGTGCTGGCGTTGCGGTCATATTTTTGAGCTGGTTAGACTATCACCCTCTTTTCAAGATATGGAACTGGATTAAGAGTGTGTCACAGGGACAAGTTCAGAAATGCTCTTCATGGTTTTTCTGTCACTGACATTAAGAACTGGGGATGTTTAGGGAAATCACCCTGTTCACATCTCTGCTAATACAGGATGCTCTTGCACATTTAATAATACTTAGTCCAGTTCAATTTTCAAATTGATTCTTCTGCTGCTCTGAGGGAATTATCCTGATGGCTAACAGGGCTTACATTTAGACCTGAGTTTTTTCTTTCATAACCCTATTGCTTTACTTCCAGTTACAGCCCCTTCCTCCACCCTAAACATTCTTGTGCCTTGCTGGGCATTGTCACACCTTAAACCTCTACAAGCCGCCTCTTTCAGATCCACTCAAACTGCATTGTTTTGGGAATATGTGAGAAGGGTGGGGTGTGGAGGGCTGAAAACACGGGTGACAGTGGGAATCTTTCCACTGTTCATTTACCTGAGGTACTCGTAGAGTCCATACATGGGCAAGAAGTCAATGTCAGACAGAAACATGTATGGTGTGCTGATATGCTTCATGGCCACGTTCCTTAGCAGATTCACAGGGTAGAACTGGCCCTCCTTGTACACGATATGGTAGCCGACATTGTGGCGGCTCATGAGTACTTCTGAGCCCTGGGCGTAGCGCAGAAATTGCTGGGCTTCTGCATCAGAAAGATAGAGTGCCAGGCTGATTGGACCTTCCCAATGTTTGCAGATGGCTTCAAGCATCTGGAGCCTGAAAGAGGAAGGGTGAGAATAAGAAAAGGCTGACTCCCTGTCTGTTACTCTTTGCCCGGGTTCATCTGATCAAATGCAGATATCTATCTCTAAGTGAGACAGATTGGGGTCACTTTATATGCCGTGGAAAGCAATAAATATTTCTACAGCACAATTCATCTCATCTAAGTTGACATCTCCTTCTGGACAGATGGACTGCACTCTAGATATGCCTACTTGTTTCCACTGAATACAAGAAAGCCTAAAATGGTCCTAGCTCAGATACATACATCCACAACTCAGATACCTAAAGCCAGGTGAAATCAACACCATCCTTTCTGCCTAAAGCATTGATGCTGCAGGAAAACTCATATGGACGATGGGACTTCATCTGATGGGAGCTTTGAGTAGTTGCAGGGATCTGTCCATTGTGGGTCTACTTACAGGATAGGGGTGTCGTAATCTTAAACAGTGGCTAGTACCCAGTTCACATTTCAGGTCAAGCTATTCTCATGCACCAACATACCACAGTGCTCTTCAACAAGCTTGTGGAGGAGAAAGGTGTGCAGACCAACAGGTCATTTTACCTCCTGTTTAGGAAAACCTTCCCCAAATTTTTGCAAGGCAGTTAGTCAGATCTTAAAAGCTGTTAAAAGTGACAGGGCAAGGGAATACTGACTTATACGAACATTTGCATTGACTAGAAGAAAACTCACTGTCAGGGAAAGGGCAAAAGGATGACACATTGATAGAAATGGGATTTACTATGTGTAGGGAGTAAGGAGAGAAGGAGGGAGAGACCTGGCTTTGCTGTGGAATATCAAAAGAACATTTCAGACAAACCCATCATTTAAAGTACTGATTTGTATATGTTTTAGCAGTATCTCAAATGTCATTAAATCATTTTTAAAACAGGTTGTATCGATGTATATTTTTTAGAACTCCCAGCAGTTACAATACCATTGATGAAAATGACAACAAAAAATCTCATACACAAATGTAAATTAAACCCAGCCTGATCAAAATCGTTTAAGCACTTTGGGTAATTTATAGAGAATCGCCTAGAGATTAAGATATACCACCCAAAAATACAGCAAGGACTGATTATGAAGCCTCTTGAGTTAATACAAAGGGAAATGAACCTATGCAGCCTAGCCAGATATTCTATTAAAAATTAAGAAGAGTAGACTATGCAACATGATTATGTTCTCTCCCTTCCAAATCCACATTACTAGATTTTTCCTATTAATATTTATACAGAACACAAGAAAACTTTTCTGCATCATCGTAATCAGAGAAAATAATTTCCCCCTCCTACTATCTCCCTAAGCTTTGCAGCAGAAAGGAATGATATACTCATATCAGCAAACACACACTCTGATTTAACATTAATAGCTTTTTCCTGCATTTCTGAATGATCATGATGACATCCAAGATGATATAATAATTTTTTCTTAGATATGAGATATTACCTTTACTAGTCTACACCTGGTACATTATTTTCTTTTTATCTATTATTGAAACAAAGGTTATTATCAGCCTGAAACATACAGCTGAATTAGAAACAGGAATCGATAAAAAAGATCTAAAAAGTATGTGAAGGCTTTAGGCTTTTGACTGTACAAATAATAAATAGAGAAAAATACCTTTCTTTTTTTTTCCTTTCTTTTTTCCAACACAGTGGAAACCTATTAATCAGGAGACTCCAACTCATCAGCACTCAGATTTAGGGCAGCCTTTTAAAAATGGAATACTTGCCTAGCAAGAAATGCAGCAAAATGCCTTTCAAGGACTCCACGCAGTGGACAAATGGCATACATAACTTATTTAAACAGCACACCTGATAATGCCTGCAAAGCTTTTCACAATAGTTAAGTGAGAACTGGGTTGTGCTGGTATAAATTTGCAGCTGGACAGCTTAGTGCCCTTCAGACTACTCCATTTTGCTGTGTCGTTCTCATTGACAGGCTCCACTTCCACGAGTTTGATACAGGGACTGCTGGGTGATGCTCCATAATCTGCTCTCTGTAGGTTGTTACAATAGTCTCCTTTGACCATAAAACTTAGAATTACGAGTTTCTAAGCACAACATGACCAAGTTATTTTGGTTTTGCTAGCGGTCTTGAGGAATGTGTTCTCTTAAGGACTCCAGAGAAAATAAATATACTCCTGTACTGCATAATAATGAGGTCATCGGTTAGTCGGTACTGTTTTTTAAGGTCTGTTTCAGTCAAGAGAATTTTGCTGGAATTCAATAGTTTTGTGAGGCTGTTTGTTTTCCCTTTTCTTCTTAAGAATACTCAACCAATTTACATCTCATTCTCACCCAGACTTCAAGCAGTGTAATGCTGATTGTCTCTTTCCTCATCCACATCCTGATCGCACATTATTGTAACCCTGATTTCTGAACCCCAGGTACACACCATGCCTCTAAAAAGGCTGCCTAGCCAAAACACATGCATGAAAACCACAGTGATCCAACCAAGCCATTATCCAAGAAAATGTCACATCAGTATAAAAGGTGACAATTAAGCAATAACGAATAACACTGGATGAAGTCTGCCTCAAAGCCTCTATCTAAAGACATCCTAAACTGCACCCCTCTCTTCCATTCCCCAAGCCTATAGCACAGGCAAACATAAGCCTGTCACGATAGTCATGTCAGTCTCATCTCCAACAGGACTATAATTGGAGACACCGGGAGTTGCTTTTTTGCCTTTCTTTATCTCGAATGATCATTTGAAAGAACGATGCGGGAATGTAGCGTATAACACATTGTTTATGTACATGTCATCTTACATCAGAGACACTATTCTTAAATGTCTACAGCTACGCTGGAGGAGTTTAATAAAAGTGGTTTAAAGAAGATAGAAAAAAAATAAGGCAGTAACTGAAAGATGTGAAGGAAAACAAAGCAGCTAAACAGTTCTTTGGTATGATATTATTTATTGATTTTAGCTGAAGGTAAGTATTTCCAACTCAAATCAATAATTTATAGCAACACACCAATGAAGTAGGGAAGATTTTTTCTTCACAGTATCAGGAGGGCTGTTCTTCCTGAATAAAAATGTGTGGTTCTGTCTATCAATAAAAACATGTGCCCCAGTGAGGATCCAGAAAGGGAAACAGATGCTCAGACTTTGCATCAGTGCCAGTGAATCAGCACTGAGCCCCAGCTCATTCTTTTGAATTAAATTCTGGGGGGAAAATATACCATGTGCACACACCAGCTTTGCTAATTTACTGTGGCACTCGTTCAGGGTCTGGCTTAATTTATTTCTTTAGTTTTTTACTCAAAGGTTTGTGAACACTTAAGAAATGTTTCCTCAATTAAAAATCAATAGAACAGACACTGATGTGCATAGCAGATCATAACACAATGTGCAAGATGCAGTGCTGAGGCGCTGGCAAAACAGAATAGCCCTCATTTGTTCGTGTTTATTTTTAAAACAGGCTGTAAATGTTTTGTTGATCTGAATTCCTCTGACCTTCCACTGGTGTAGCAGTGGTGGTATTTGTGGGTCATGTTGTATTCTGTATGTGCTCTGCTAAATGAAGTATCAGTTTCTGGCTAATATTCAAGGAGTTCAGACCTGTTTTGTAACCTGCTCTGATAGCAGTAACTACAACGTTTGGACTACATTTGAACTGAGAAGCAGGAGGAAAAAAGGAGACTGACAATTTAAAATTTCACAAAGCGTGCTGATCCGGAATGCACTTTTGGGGCTTCTGAAAAATGACAACTAATTGCAATGATGGAATCAGAAAGGTGCAGGTGGAACTTGTCATAAAAGAGATTTTTTTTTCCCAAATGAAATACCAGTTAAATTCGACTATACATCAGAACTTAAAGTTGAAAAGGGTTAAACTAAAAATGTTATTCTGAAAAATCAACATTTGTATAAAAATGCAATGACTCCTCTCAAAAGGAGATTTTTTTATTTCATACTAGTACACTAAAAAAAGTTTTATTTTCAACTTCCCAATTTGAAACTAAAATGTTTAAGTTCGATTTTCACTATAAGAAAAATCAGTAATTGAAATTTTCTGCAAGGAAAATGCCAATGAAAGCAAAACTAACATTGTCTAAGGAGGAAATACTGTGTCCAAAAACCTGGGTCAGCTACAACGACATGCCTAAATCTATTACAAACACCTGGTTTTTCTCAGTTGCCATAACTCCATAAACTAGTAATACCTGACAATCCTGAAAAGTAACAACCCCTGCAGTTCCAGTTTTCAGCCCCTCATGAACTCTACCCACAGTCCTGAGTGCACTGCAGAGCTGAAGTCTGGATACATGGGTGATATCTACATGTGCTACTCCTAATTCAAGAAAGGTCTTACAGTATGACAACCAAGTTTCTACAAAAGTGAGCTTTTTTTTCTCCCCAAAGCATGACATAGTTTGATTTCTCTGTAAGAAAATACTGTCTCACACATCCAGATGAACAAAAGATTTTCCCTACCTATCCATTGAAAGTTGAGCCACCAGCGTTACGTCGGTATTGTCTGAAGCAGGCTCATATTCGTAATGTAGAAAATACAAATGAGTGCGATGGACGGTGAAACGTTCTCGACGAAATTCATAGCATAAGTCATCCTCGTCCAGCTCAGACAGCTGTTTCTGGAGCTGTAAGGGAAGAGTGGACATAAAGATAAGTTCTTTATAATTATTTTAGCAAATCAGAGAGAATGAGAGGTTGGGAACTTGCAGCATGATGCAATGGGGAGTGGAAGCGGAACATACAGAGTAGCAGGGTTTTCCCAAGTCTTGCTCCTGCGAGTCACTGGACAAGCAATTAGAAGAAAGCGCTTGTAAGTAAATTGATAAGGCAGACAGACCATTGTATTACGGTCTATATATTGTACATATTATCTGTATTACATACTTTCAACATCCAGACTAGCAATGAAACAATCGCAAGTTTAATAATTGCCAAGTTTCAGAGTTAATGCTCCAATGTGATGTATTATGTCAGTCCTTATCAGAAGCAGTGTTTCAAACTACTCGTAGACATACAGCTCCAGTAGACAAGACTCAGCAACAGATTAATCTTGTATGTGCTAGACTGAGCAGTTCCCATTCTGCTGCCTCTGTTGGAGAATAGTAAGTGCTGCAAGCAGCATGGACAGACAGCTGGAAAAGTAACATCTTTAACTGATCATTATCTGCATCAGTTCAATTTTGTAATGAGAATATTCTTTCAACTGCAGAGGTGCCAGAATTAAGCCCACACTTTCAACGGGATTTATGCTTCTGGATACCTAGTTTGAGACATCCAAAGAATGGCAAATTGGCAGAGAACAGGTATTTTTGGGGTCCCATGGAAACCAAGCCCCTTCAAAGTCAAAATGGGCGTCTCAAAGCAATCCAATCCCGAGTCACTTAGACATGTAGCTTTAAGAGAATAAAAGTTTAGCTCTAGGGAAAGGAAGAAGAGAAAAACTGACCAAATATCTATGTAGCTGACCATTTCCATCCCTGAACTATATTATCTTAAAGCCAAACATCTGACTAGATTATTTAAAATGCATATATTTAAAAGGAAAACTCAGTCATACCTGCTGTAAAATGTACTACAAAATGTAATGAAGATGAAAATTATATGTGGTCTTAACATGTCAAATAGAAATCCATTTGTGTTGCTCTAAAATGTAGGTTATTAATAAAGGTATCATTTCTATATTTTATGTCTTAAAAGCATCCTATAAGAAGAATATGATTGCATATTTATCAGTAAATAAGAAAAATATTCATTTTATAGGAATTTTACAAGTTTTGATAAACATCACAGTGCACTTCAAAACTGGTTCATGCAATAAACAGATTATTGAATTATAGACATTCATTTAGATTTAAAAATCTCTTCTTTTTGGCCTGTTCAGAATGATTTAAAGTAATATTTTCACCATCTTCAAGGAAAAAATGGAAAATGCAGGTATTTCTTGTTCTAATACTGTGTTAAGAAGAAGAGTTGTTGTTCTTGGAACTATAAGCATAATGGTTGCCATCAACAATAATGCTTACAGCCGAATGTTTTCCTGTGAAGGCTGATGGAATAATTCCTGATGTTTTCCTGTACATCACTCTATAATCTTCTTTTGAATAATGGAAATACCTCCTTTGATTTCAATGAGTTTTGGATCAGGCTCTCATTCTTCTGTGCTATTGTTCTGCACAGATCTTAAAACATCCCTCAAGAGAGACTGCTTTTAGAAAGATGAGAGTCCGAATCTTGACAAATCTTTACACAGGCAAAACTTCTATTGAAATCAAGATCTCTTTTGGTGGAATAGAAATCAGGAGTTCTTTTACATATTCTTGGAGTTTCATTCATTCTGCTTTACAAATCATCATTCAGCTGAGACTGTACCTTATTTTTCAAATCACATTCAAACAATATTTGAATTAAACCCAGTATCTACAACAATGACTAGAAAGAATATTGTATCTTTCAGTTTCTGCCTTGAAAAGAGACATTAGTATGCCTTTAACAGAATTATCAAGGAGATGATTGAAATTTGAATGGTTAAAACAATAGCAAAGGGGTAGCCTACTATCCTGCTGTATGTAGAAGTGACCAGGCTAGAAGTTTATAACTGCACAGCAGCTATTAACCAGGCAGTCACTGAATGATTATCAGATTACATTCGGGTTGCAAGCTAAGAGGATATAAATACTTAATTATGAGTTACAGAATAACATTTGGGGCTAAATTATGGCTTTGTGCACTACAGAGCCCTAGGTGGGGGAAGAGAAGGAGACACAGCTTCTCAAGAGGCCCAGGTACTTTGATGGTGAAACTCACCAAGTCACAAAGTTGGTGATGGAGGTGAAGGAGAGCAGCAAACAGCAGAGGATCCCTTCTGCTACAGGGAAAGGGAAACCTTGCTCTTTCCACTGCATTTCTTAGAGTCAGGATTGTGTCTCTGTCCTGTCAGACTTTTTCTGAGCCAGCAGCTATGCTGATAGTCCATCAGGTTCTCCCTGGCACTTCCCATGACTCATGCTCAGTACTGTGTGTGGTGTGGGACCCAAGAGAAGAGATGAGATGGCTGTGTCCATACCCCTTGCAGGAGTGGTCTCCAGAAGGACCATGGGCATGGCTTGCCCTGACTCTCCCCCAGCACCCTCTACTCGAGTGCAGGCAAGGAGCCAGGGGGAAGCCCAACCACAGGCTGTCTGAGAGCCCTGGCTAGTATGCTGGCATCGCTTGGCAGGATCAGACACGCAGCTCCATCAGCGCTTTGCAGGAATGGTTGTGCAATCCTTGCCTGCTCATACCATGAACCTAAACTGCTAGGCAGCCTTAGGAGCCATGCTCTGCAGGCTGGGCAAACGCAGCTGACTTAAGGTGTGCTCCTTCAGGTAGGACAACCAGCACAGGACAGGCTGTGATTTGGCTTGTAATCTTGTCACTGCGTATGTGGCAAGCAGTCTGCATTAAGAATAGGTCTATCTTGCAATGGCGAGGCAGCAGGCACTGGAAAGCAATAGCATGTGATTATCCATATGAAGACTCCTCTCCTACTGGAAGCAATGCTGGGCACACTAGGCGCTCTGGATTTGGTCCAGCAAAACCTGTAAGCTCACAGGCTATCTCACTGAAGCTAATGGTATGATGTGCACAAACTATCAGGACCAACGTGCTGGGTGCTGCACAGTTTTATGCAGTTTAAGAGCCCTTTTCCCTCTCTCACTTTCTTTGTTCCCCCCAATTCATATACACATTCAGATACCCATGCACCAGTATCACATACACATAGAAAGGCTGCTTCCTCATTACTACAAAGAGACACATACGATATATAAATACATATTGCACAGTGCCACATGCCACTTTAACACACATATTTAAAATGAAGAATGTGAAAGATGTACAACATTCAAAAGACAGCCAATTGTCTAAGACAGTTACATGTATATTCTTAAATTGATCTCTTTCTGAGTTACCTCATATTATTTTTCAGTGAGATGATCACATAGAATTTCTCCAATGATATAATCTTATCTACAGCACACATATTGTGTGGATCCATTATTTACAAAAAACTTACAGCTTGGTTTAAGGTTTGTGCCCACATTAGGCCTTCGTGAAAAGACAAGTTTATAATGGGAATGCTGACAGATCTATGCAAACAGATGCTTAGTTATACACAGTGCACCATCAAAATGAGGAACTTAAGACCAGCTGGATTTGCTGAAAAGATGGCATCCCCATTATGAACCCTTCCATTACATTTATAACAATATGCCTAATTTAGCAAAGACTTCTCAACCTTAGGTGATAGCATCTGTTCTCATAAGTGAGTACCTGCTTAGCATGAGATTCACTGTTTCTACAAGATTTTCCATGCTAAGGCTACTTGCCACTGAGCGTGTAAGAAATGTCACCTCTAGGAAACACTCTCACAGTTGAAAAATGTAATCTTTTCAGACTGTGTATGGTAGATGTTCTGTTAGGAAATACTGTAGTGGGAAACAAGAAGTGCTTTCATTAGCATCAGGAGGTTACTTGTTTCAGAAATAAAAATGGCAGCCATGACATGCATAATGCCAAAACAAAGAGCAAACAAATATATAAAAAATATATTGCTAAGTTACTTCTCTGGGCAACCAGCTGTGGTGGTTGGTCATACTTCATGTCAGAAAAAGTAGTCTTTGAAGTTAGGCTGGCCAGAGAGGGACAGGCAGGCCAGAAGGCATTAAACTCTACCATAAATTGTCATGATTTACCAGGTCTACTTGTCTGACTAATACATTTGTATGAGATGAGGTGCTGTCTTCCATCCACGTGATAGATGGCAGACCCATATGATACACAGCACACAAGATGTACCTTTCACCAGCGAACTGGTTAGTCTGCTCATAAATCTCCCTTCCGAAGGTTGTTCCTAGTGTAAGCAAATTTGTGATTGACTTCGTTTTTTTTTAACTGCTGTGTCACAGAAACAATTTACTTCCCACCAAAATCTACAGGACTTCATCTCAGTGAGTTCTATCCAAAATCCAGGATCAGAAGTATTTTCTTAGAGATTAGTGATATTTTAAAAAAATACCAACAAACAATGTTTTGTGTCTAGAGGCTACTTAGATCTTGGGGAAGAGGATAAAAACTCTAACGTAAGCATTTCTTTCTCATCAAGTGGTTAAGGTGAGGTGAGGTGACACTAGGCTTAAGCCACTGAACTCACTATCATGCTAACACAACAGGAACTGTGCAGCTTAGATGAAAACTTTCCACTTTCAGATCATCTTTCCTTTTTCCAGGTGTGCACAGTTAAGATTCATAGCACAAAATCAACTCTGCTTAGCCACCGAGATGAAAACTAACACCATCCCAGGATGAAACTATAATCTGGTTATAAACTTCAGCAGTTTCATTTCCTCCTGTGTAGCTGTCCCAGTTCCCGCCAGTAGGCAATTTGGATTGCAACGTTTAGCACTTTCAAAGTGTGTGAATTAACTGTTGCCTTTAGCATGGCATAAACAAAGCAGATGATGATGTAGGGAAGAAAAAGCATTCACTGAACCTTGTTTGGGATGACCTACATAAAGTACTTCTGGCTTCTCCAATGATTAGTAATAAAAGTCAGACTAATCCCATGTCAATTAAACCTTTATTCCTC